GGTTTTAGTGCTGTTACAGTTTTCTGGGAATTTGTTCTAGAATAGTAGATTATTAGACCTAAACACTTCTACTCATTACATTTTCACACAAGTATCTGAACTTTCTATTCCTTACATTTTTAAATCAAACCTTACTCGTTACTCTTGGCTTCGGTTTAATGTTTCTAAATCTTTATTTCCCGTCATGTGCTCCATCCAATGCAGATCATTGGCTCCACCCACATCTAGTGAAAACTAGTGTGATTGGATGAGTCATAGAACGCAAACACTCATTGGTTAGCTAAAGGAAACTACACTGGAAAACAGGCAGATTAGGATAACCTGACTAACCAGTCAGGTTATCCTGAGCTATTTCTATAGTTCTGCTGCTATAGGCTTAGACTGCTGGAGGACATAGGGACCCCTTTTTCATCATTCTGCTTCATTCTATCTCTATTCTCCCACTCTGCAGAATCTGTTAGTTCAATCTCTAACGTTCTGCTCTCTCTGCTTTTTCTCATAGTAGCTTCATCTGGTCTGTTCCTGTTTGGCTGTGACTCCATCCTGGAGAGAAATATCAGCTGTGCTGCTGCCATCAACACCTTTGTTTCTAGATGTTGGAGCTTGGCCTGTTTTCCAGTGTAGTCCTGTTTCTCTGACTGTGACTAACTGGATGTGCTCTCTTCATCCTCTGACATGGGAGCTGGCTCAGAGCTCGTCTGCCTGGCTGTGTGTTTCCTGGACGGGGCCACAGGGGAGGATCTAGAGGGTTAAGAGGAGATTGTAGACTTTCTGCTAAATCCTGTTCTAATGTAAAATATGACAGATTATTGGGTTAAAGAAATTTCTTGTATCACATATAAGAATTCCTCCTCCATAACATGGGAAGAAATTATTCTATCTGCAAGTCTTTAACTGTGTTTATTTCTCTCTTCATCAACAAACTCTGTGGATTTGGTGACATTTGATCATTATTTGCCAGAGTTATCCCCACATTACATGGGGAAAAAAAACAAATTCTGTGAATTTTGAAACTGTGTTTTTTCTATATCATGTTTGAAACATTAATTATTTTATATTTTGAAATCCAAAATAGTTAAAATAAATATGACTGTTGGTTTGATGATCTTTATGAAATGTATTTTCAATTCTCAATTCAAAATGTCTGCAGTAGCATTGCTCCAGACATTTGGTTTGAACTTATTTGGAATATTTGTTAATTGTTAGATAAACATCTAAATAAATTTCATAAAGATCATCAAAGGAGGAACGGATTATATCAGGTGGCTGAAATATATATGATGGTTCCCCTCTGATAACTCTGGCAAATAATGATCAAATGTCACCAAATCCACAGAGTTTGTTTTTGGTGAAGAGAAGAATAAACACAGTTAAAGACTTGCAGGTAAATGAATTTCTTCCCATCTTATGAAGGGGAAACAGATTATTTCAGGCAGCTGAAATCTCCATTCTCTCCTCTCCTTCTCTCATATCTTTGGGAAATAAAGAGCAACTGTTGGCAAATTCTCAAAAATCATTATGTGTGATATCATGTAGTAAACTGGAAATGTCCTTAATCCAGTAATCTGTCCTGTTTTACATTAGAACGGGCTTTATCAGAAAGTCTACTCTCTCATCTTTGCAGGAACTCGTTAATTTCTGTGTCCTGCTATCCTCTTATATCACTATGAAAAATTATAAATACTAATAATTATAAATCTCTGCGAGTTAAAAAACTGTTTGCTGACTGATTTTATTTCAGTCAGGCTTAAGGGACAGAAGTTGGGAAAAGACCAATTATCTTGGTGTTTAAAACAACAACAGAAAACAGCTTTATTCATCTTTGCAAGCTGCGTTCCCAATGTATAAATAACATGATCATGGCACAACAGGGTGTTTAGGACTATTAGGGACTGTTTGAAATAGAGGCCAGACTGTCTCAGACTCCAGGTTTGTTCAGCATTTTACTGTTTTCTTCAACTGACTGTAAATAGTTTAACTGTTTTTATGGACCTTCACAGCTGTTTTAAGGTTTCAGGTTAGTTAGAAAAACCTTGTCTAGATCAGAAGAGACATAGAGCTGTGAGGGTTGCTATGATTGTCTTGTTCTCATCTTTGCAAAGATGAATAAAGTGTTGACTTAGTGAAATACCATCAATCTCCTTTATTTAACTAAACTAATTCAATTCAGTTATTTATATAGCGCCAATTCACATATCATGTTACTTTACAGAGACAATTCAACCAGATCATCCAGTCAGATTGATTGAAAGTTTTCTATCTAAGGAAAACCAGCTGATTACATCGACTCATTGACTCTTCAGCAATCCCTCACACTAAGCATGCTTGTAGTGACAGTGGAGAGGAAAAACTCCCTTTGAACAGGAAGAAACCTCCAGCAGAACCAGGCTCAGTGTGAGCGGCCATCTGCTGAGGCCCACTGGGGTTCAAGGAGACAGAAGCAGACATAGAAAAAGAAGCATAGATACAAAAGGCAACTGTCAACCAGCTCCAAAGGCGGCCCCGTCCAGGAAACACACAGCCAGGCAGACGAGCTCCAAGCCAGCTCCCATGTCAGAGGATGAAGAGAGCACATCCAGTTAGTCACAGTCAGAGAAACAGGACTACACTGGAAAACAGGCAGATTAGGATAACCTGACTAACCAGTCAGGTTATCCTGAGCTATTTCTATAGTTCTGCTGCTATAGGCTTAGACTGCTGGAGGACATAGGGACCCCTTTTTCATCATTCTATCTCTATTCTCCCACTCTGCAGAATCTGTTAGTTCAATCTCTAACGTTCTGCTCTCTCTGCTTTTTCTCATAGTAGCTTCATCTGGTCTGTTCCTGTTTGGCTGTGACTCCATCCTGGAGAGAAATATCAGCTGTGCTGCTGCCATCAACACCTTTGTTTCTAGATGTTGGAGCTTGGCCTGTTTTCCAGTGTAGTCCTGTTTCGCTGACTGTGTCTAACTGGATGTGCTCTCTTCATCCTCTTACATTTATTCATCTTTGCAAGCTGCGTTCCCAATGTATAAATAACATGATCATGGCACAACAGGGTGTTTAGGACTATTAGGGACTGTTTGAAATAGAGGCCAGACTGTCTCAGACTCCAGGTTTGTTCAGCATTTTACTGTTTTCTTCAACTGACTGTAACTAGTTTAACTGTTTTTGTGGACCTTCACAGCTGTTTGCAGGTTTCAGGTTAGTAAGAAAAACCTTGTCTAGATCAGAAGAGACATAGAGCTGTGAGGGTTGCTATGATTGTCTTGTTCTCATCTTTGCAAAGATGAATAAAGTGTTGACTGCGCACTTTCATCTGGTTTGGTCTGCCGGCTTCCGTAGCGTCGTGAACGCGCAGGCGCGCGCTTTCAGGAAATCCTATACACTACTGTTTATGCTCTAAAAACATTCTAAATGACTTTGTTTCGAGTAAATTTGTCCACATTATACGCTACCCACTCAGGACACTTGGAATACATTGGACGAGCAGTATGGAGGAATATTGACACGTTTTTTGTGGACTTTTATGGACCTTTCTGTCTCGGGCGCCATGGACCTCCATTATTTGAATGTCAGCAGACAGCAAGAAGCCTCCCAGATCTCCAGATGCATTTGAGATATCAGAAAAGTACTCCAGAGTGTTGTTCAGCATGGGGGTGAGTAGAAAATGAAGGCTAATCATGTTTTGGGTGTACTATTCCTTTAAGAAGGACCTAATTTATTTATTTATTTTACAATTTATCAACCAACAGTTGCTCATTAAACTGGATGTTACAACCGTGACATGATGAGCTGTTTTTAATGAGAAATCAGAAATTCAGTGAAAATCTTCCCATCCTCCATGTCTGCCTCTCTGACTTCAATGCGCCTCCCGACACAAGGGGAACAAAATTTCATGCAACACCGGGACAAAAAAGTCAGTCAGAGCTTTGCATCCCTGGAATATCAGTCTCATGATGTTGATGTGTTGATCAGTCTGCAGATGGCTGCTACAAGCATGCTTAGTGTGAGGGATTACTGAAGAGTCAATGAGTCGATGCAATCAGCTGGTTTTCCTTAGATAGAAAACTTTGAATCAATCTGACTGGATGATCTGGTGAACTGTCTCAGTAAAGTGCTGTTGAAATAAACTGGATTAGAATTTCCATTTAGTTTATTTCTATCGCACCACATGTAGAGTATGGGTCCCTGATGGCCAGGATTAAGAACTAGAGTTTTTAAAGTCTGACTTGGTATTGATTAAGTTAATTCCTGATTAAAGAATCTAATTAAATAGAATTTGCTAATTACTATTCAAAGCCGAGCTGTTGCTCCCCCAAACTAACCCACTGCCAGGTGGATATTGGATAACTCTCTCTTTTTACCCAGAGGACCAACAGGTATTGCTGAAGGTCAGATGATACAACCACACCCTCTATGGAACCTGCATGAGCAGTTACAATAGAATCTATATTTAACAAAATGCTCAGGCAGAAGATGCTAACTTAATCCAGATCAAGACCCACAATTTCATTTGCACCTCGTTAGCAGAACAGCTTTGAGCAAACTTTCAACTTTGCACAGTGTTTGATCTGTACAGTCTGTTAGTAGATCAGGGCCTTAGTGTTTTGAGTGTCCTGAGGCTCAAACCTCACATGTCCACCGGTTGATCTTCCTAGCAAGTGTGTTGGCCTGCATGGTTCATTTTGTTTGGTCAGTTCCTTTAATGTTCCCTGAAATCTTTAATGCATCCGTACAGACAGACACTGTTGGAGCAGTGCTGACAGACCCTGCTCTATGTTAAACCTTGATGGGTGCTCGGTCAGGACCTTTTAAGGTCACTTTTCCACTTTTAGTGTCATTTTCCATCTCAGATTTGGTAAAGTACCTCTGTGAATATGTGACTATGCCGTGAGATCTAAGCAAATCTTAATAAAACGTGTTAAACTGGTTCTTCGTTTTTTGTTTCCTGTTTGCTGCTAAAGGCGGCACTTTTTTTCCTGCCTGTCACCACACTGTCAAATTGGCCAGATGACAAGGTTGACTGGGAGGGAACCTCAGACAGGATAGAATAAATTGAGCAATCAGGACTCAGTAGAATTCAGAACGCCTAGGCATCGACGAACCCATCAGAGACCATTAGTTACCCTGTTGAAGGCAAAGATGACCAGCAAACCAGCAAACCCAGGTAAGAATGAATCTCCCTGAGGAATCAGTTCTCTGCCAACGTTATTTTTTAGTGTTTAGAAGCAGCAGCACTTTTATGCTCAATATTTATCCTTTGGTTCCATGGATTATCTAACTTTTAAGAGGATTTTAAAGAATGATAAAGCATATTTTGGTCAAATACTTCAATCAAGCCATAAATTAGATAATTAAATTAATAGTGAAATAATTCTTTGGTTTCTCTATTTCTTTTTATAATCCAATCTAAGTCAAAATCCGTTTAGAAATGAGAATAAATTAGAAAATTTTAGAAACACCTACTGAAACAGAATCTGTAAACCCAATAATTCAGCCGAAACAATAAGAAGGCGTTCAAAGAATTCATTTGAAAATGGAAAATGGAAATGGAATCACTGTGGAGAGGAGAACAGTGTTAGTAAAACCCTCGTTCCAAATGGTGCCATGCCGATATTTGGCTGTGGTGACATCATATATAGGTCAGCTCCCATAGCCTCACTGTGGAGCGGTGACCACAACCGTGGACCACAACGTTAAGGTTTAAATTGAAAGCTCCTTTATGAACATCTCACTGTAAAATGGGCTTCTATACAAAACCCAAGAAAGATCCATCGGTTTGTGTTTATTTATGAATGTATAATAGGTCTATTCTAACTGTTCTTGTCATCTGTAATGAGCTTCTATAACTCATTAAAAGAGGAGTTCCCAAAGTGTCCCCCAAGCAGCATTGGCTTCTATCCAAGGGCCCCATTTCAAAACTAACAGGCAATTATTTCTACAAAATAGATCAAAACACTTTTAGACGTATTTTTTTTAAACTTTTATTCTTATTCAATCATTACAATGTTTAAAAAATGTACTAACATGTTTTCAGTTCTGTTGTATTTCCAATTAAAAACCAACTTTTTAACAAACATTAGATTGAGAGGGGGAACAGTTTACTGAAGCCATGAGTGCCGCGGCAGCCTGATCATTTTCCAATCTGTAATTGGAGACACATCAGGTATCCTCCAAATCCAAACATCTAGACATTTTCTACATCCTCCACTGACAGCATTGGAAAACACACCATCCTCCAGGCCTTCCAGGAGTCCATGGTGTATCCCATCAAGTATGTCCTGGAAGGACAGGAAGGGTCCCCTTTACCCTGTCCTCCAGTTGAGAAAATTTGATCCATTGCATTGAGGGACCAGCTGGGAAGAGAAGAGAGAGCTCAGAAAAGACAAAGACTCAGCAAAGCAGGGACAGAGCAGGGGGGGGGGGGGGGGGGGGGTAGCAGAGCAGCAGGAAAATGCCACCGCTTCCTGCAACAGTCAGAACAGAGAAAATCATTAGAGCATCTTTGTCCACATTTAGACTCCATGTTTTGTTTAAAAACCTTAAAATGAAAAGGTCAGACTTTAGATGTTTGTTATATCACAAAGGAAAGAGGCCTTCCTGTACACTGTTGTATTTCTAACATACTTCGACAGAGGAAGCGCCTCAAAGGGCAGTTTTAAATGCCCTTGGGTTTTCATGTTCAAATATTATTACAATATTACATATAATATATATATTATATATAATATATATATTACATATATATATTTAAAATTGTTTTGCTGTCAAAAAGTAAAATGTTGCTCTTTATTGAAGCTGCAGTCAGGTGTATTAAATGAAAGATGCCTCCCTGCATTTTTATAAGTTAGCTGCCAGTGAAATTATTTCCTGGTGTGAAAATGCGAAATATGTTGCTCACTTATTTGGTCTCATCTAATCGTTTGTTCATCAATGTGTGTTTGACTCCATCAGGCTCAGAAGAATCCGAGCTCCGCATTTTGCTGCTGGGTAAGAAAAAAAGTGGGAAAAGTTCTGCTGGTAACACCATCCTGGGAGAGAAGTGTTTCAGGACAGAATCTACTATTGCTTCTGGGACAATAGAGTGTGAGCTGAAGACAAAAAGTCTCACAGTTGATGGTAAAAAGCTGCAGGTGAAGGTTCTGGATACTCCTGGTTTCAAGAACGGTGACAACTGTTTGGAAAAAAAGCTTCTGGAGGACATCAAGAAGCTTTCTCCTGAGGACAAGGGTAGCGCTACCGGTCCTCATGCAATCATCCTGGTGTTTGAGTCAAAAATAGCAACAATAGAAGATCATAAAGTGCTAAAAGCTTTAGAGGAGGGCTTTAAAAACGCTCGTTCTCACATCATAGTTGTCGTCACTAAGAATGATGGAGATGTAAAGAACCCGAAGCTTTCTGGAATTAAAAGGATCCATTTATTCAGTAAGGAGCCTGTCCCTGGAGAGGGTGAAGCGCTGCTGAAAGATGTCGCTGAGATGGTGAAGGAAGGACACTATCACAATGATTTGCTCACGAAAGCTTTAAAGACCACCTTTGAAGAGCTGTCAAAACCTGATGCCAAAAAAAAGCCGTCTCTGGGAGAAAAGGTGGTAGATTTGTTACTCAACAAAACCATAGATTTCCTAACAACGTGTGGTGGTGGGAATGATGAACAGGGTGAACTGGAAGCCGTTTAAAATGATCTGAATGTTGAAGCTTTGACCTTCATCCAACATGTTAGTGAGATGTTTGGGTGTCTGAGATCCAGTTCCTGTTTCAGAACATTTGTTTTCTAAGCTGGAGATTCTTTATATGACTTTTTCTTTTTTAACTAGAATTATTTATTTGCAATCAGAATGTTTGTATATTTTAATCAGGTGTTAAATGGTGGTGGTCTTACGGTGAAAAATGTCTCACTGTTTATTCTCTTTGCCTTTATTCTACATATTAACATGAATAAAGCTCAGTCTGCCATGTGTTTTCCTTGGTTCCCTCATTCAGGAGTAGCGACGCTCTTTCAGTCTAACTTATTATTTAGTTCAAAGTCAGTTAATTGTAACAACTCCTTTGAGCCTCTATTTTGGTCCATCCACTCTGCACTACAACAGATAGGCTTAAAAAACTGATGTATCTGGAAAAGCACAAGGAACTATTTGAACATACCACTGACGATATACAAAAGTAAATAATTAAAGATCCAATTTTATGCTATGTTTGAAAACTAAATATTAACAAAGAGGGCTAGTAACACCCGCAGATAATAATGCCCAAAAACACAGTGGTAGAAAAAGTGCTTAACAGTATGATGCTCACAGTCAAATCTTACCCAACTACAAGTAAAAGTTACTCAGTCGAACGTCTTCTCAGGTAAAAGTATTGAAGAACTCACTTTTGAAAGTACTGAAGTATTCAAAGATACAATAAAATATAATAAAATGTTTATAATACCAGTACGTTTTCTGAGTGCTTTTAAAAAACCTGTAGTTTTCAGAAACCTCCTGATGTATTGATGCATAGTACCACCTGTTACAAATACTAGTCTACTTGTTAGGAACTTTGGCATATAAATGCCTCAAATAAATTAGGAGAGTGTCATGATGGGATCTAGGCGTCTAACCCACATGCAGATATCACTCGAGAGGCAGAGAAAAAGTTCAAAGGTTTATTTTACAATGAAGTACAATAATATGAACCGGTCCTTGGTAGGTTGACTGCTCACGAGGGGGTTCTCCACTGAGGAGGACAGAGAGGTAAGTATGATCTCAGTTTACTGCAGGTTTTCAGATGTTCTAGGTTATACCTGTTCTGTGGTTGAGCGGAGCTGCAGAGGGGGGGAACCTTGAGGGTCCAGAGGCTAGTCGGCTGGCAGAGGGCTGAGGGCGGAGGCAGAGCTTAATTTGAGTGCAGGCAGATCACAGATTAGAGTTTCCTTCCAGTATCTTCTGAAAGCAGGCAGGCAGATCTTTGACAGGAATTGTTCTCCAGAGTTCTTCTGAGAACGGACAGGTAGATCACCGGCAGAGAAACTCTTCAGGGTTTCAGGTTTCAAGCAGATTCAATCTAGGAAGCAGAGAGGAGAAAACAGATCAGGTTCAGGTTCAGATTCTCAGGGAGTCAGAGGTTCAGACAGGCTGGTTGGCTCAGGCTTGCTAACCGTTACTGGCAAACACTCTGGCACTGGAGAGAAGTCCTCCGCCTCCTTAAATACGGATCTCCTGATGAGCAGATGAGCGACAGGTGGTGCAATCAGCTCCGGCTCTAGGAGATCTCGTACGCCCTCTGGTGGAGAAAGTGGACAGACCTCCAGATCCCAACACTCAGTTAGTTTTGTGGCAACTTCCTCTGTGGATTTTCCCATGGGCGTAGGTTTGCATAGGGACCATAGGGACATGTCCCTACCAAAATTTTGAACCGACCTAATTGTCCCTACCAATAATTGGATGTGAGCAACATGTTTATAATTTACAGCAGTAGTTGTTGCAGCAGTGGCTTCTTTTCCTCTCGCAGCTCCTCTGCCTGGTCTCTCCTGTCCCTTTCACGTAGCAGCGCATGGAACTGTGCTGCGCTGTTTAACTCCACTCTCATTGGTTGTTCTGCCTTAGGTCCCGCCTTCTCTCTCCTTGATAGGCTGTTTTCTAGTCCGTCCATGCTTGGAGCACAAAATTGAACATTTATTCACACTAAAATGCCGCGGTTACTGCAATTAATATTAGGCTGCAAAACTAGTCCCAATTTAAAAAAAAAAGGAATATCATGTGCACTAAAAAACAAAAACCTTTTTTTTTTCTTTTATAAAACGAAATATTCTGAGTCAGCCAGGAGTTCTGAAGACTGCTGGAAAAATGGGCAAATAAAGGCTGTAAGCCATCAACATTTCTGATTCTTAGCCACAGCCAATTAAGAAAGAAAATGTGAGGGTTTCCTTTTTACCGATATTTAGTTGCTATTACTGTTTTCATTTTTTGATTACTCTTTCAGGTATAATTATTAGCAGGTGTTATTTCTTCTATAGAGTATAACAACAAGAAATGGCGTCTAAAGATCTGCTATTTTTCGTTTAAAGGCATAATTAGGGTTCCACATAATAATAATAATTTAATTGACTATTTATACTTCTAGAAATAGGATAAAGACAAGAACAAACAGAGGAAGAATATTAACATTGATTTTATCTTACATAGATTTCCACACAGTCTATAAGTAATTTAGTACAAACATTAATGTCTGGTAAAAATGCTTGAATCTGGCTGTTTATTTTGGATATTATTAAATTACAGATAAGATAGTGTTATATTGACTTTTATAATTGTTAAAAGTGATTTTATATTTGAATACACTTAGGCTCATTCTCAGTGTTGTGTTTGTAGATGATGCCACTAAAAAGAAAATAGACATAAGGAGCTATTTAAACAGTCAGACAGTAGCAATATAGGACAATGATAAAAGGTTGTGTTACATTTAATCCTTTACTATTACAAATGCACTTATACATTATATGATTATAGGAAACACAGATATCCAGTAATAATGATGCAGGGCAGCTTGTAGGTGAAGCAGCTGCCCTTCAGTGCTTCAGGTGATGTCTAAATAAACCAGGTGATACTAAAATATTTCCTCTTGATGAGTTCTGGATGAAGAATATTGACAGACAAAAACATTTTTTTTATCTTATATATTATATATATGTTGTATTTTTAAAATTTTGGTATAATTACTGATCTAAGTGGGTTGCTCTGTCGGAGAAAGGCATATTTTACATTTTTATTATGTTTTAGAGTCTCTATTCTCCGGTTAATGATGAATCAATCACTAAATTAGTTGACGATTATTGAAATAATCAATTAATATGATTCATTTTTTCAGTCCCAGATAAAATACATGTAATTGGCGACACAGAGTAACTACAGCCCAGATGTTCCGCTTTTATAGTGAAGTTAATATTTTAATGAATGTATTATTTTGCTTGATACAGAGAGAGAATAGTAGGTAAAAATATAAGAGTGGGGTTTACCTCTGCACAATTCTATATCTTCAAAAGAAAATACTGTATTTACCTTCTCTCTTAGTCGTTCAAATGAAACCATTTTCAAAGTGGAAAACAGTCCTAATTCCATATTCATCGGAGCCGGTGATACTTCAAACATTCATAAACAGCATCTTATGAGTGTAGTGCTTATACAATTTTTATTAATGTAGCAAAATGATGCTTTTCTCTTTTAACAATGAATTCCTCTTATCAGTACGGATCCTCACACCGTGCATAAAAAAGGACATGCATATTGCATAGCACCAATGACAACCGACTGATAGTGTCCCTACCAAAGTTCAAATCAAACCTACGCCCTTGGATTTTCCATAAGCCAAGAAAGCTGTGTCGTCTGCTTACATTAAAGTGTCACAGTTCTTACACGCAGATGGTAAATCATTAATGTATAGACTGAAAATAATTGGACCTACAATTGATCCCTGTGGAACAACAGTTGATCATAGTAAGGGGGTGGAATTATATTGGTCAATTCTTACACTTTGTGAACGAGATGAAAGGTATGAACTAATGAGGCTAATGAATTTGGAGGAAAAATTAAATGCACTGAGTTTGTACAGTAAAACTGAATGATTAACTGTATCAAAAGCTTTACGAAGGTCTAAAAAGATTGCTCCCACTATCCTTATTGTCCATATTGAATTTAACCTTTTCCAGAAAATAACTTGTTTCTGTCTCTGTAGAATGATTAACCATAAATCCAAACTGCATTGAGTGTAAAGTTAAAGAGCTGCAATTAAGATGATTAATGATTTGTTTAGCAACCAGTTTTTCAAAAGCTTTAGATACTGTTGGCGAAGGGTCTCAGGGGCCTCTTTGCACAGTCTGCACCTGGGGTCTTGTCTGGTGTAGTAGATCTGGGCCTTGATTGCTCTGGTGCTCAGGGCCTGCTCCTGTGCAGCCATGATGAGTGCCTCTGTGCTGTCCTTCAGTCCGGCTTTGTCTAGCCATTGGTAGGATTTCCTGATATCTGCCACTTCGATTATGTTTTGCTTCTTCAGCCCATGTAGGGGCTGATCCTCCCATGACTGAGTCTCTGGCCCCTCATCTTCTGTTCTCCATTGTCTGTGACATTCAGTGAGGATGTCATCTGTTGGAGCCTTGTCCCTGATGTACTTATGGATCTTGGATGTTTCATCCTGGATAGTGGCTCTTACGCTCATTAGTCCTCAGCCTCCTTCCTTATGACTGGGGTCCAGTCTCAGGGTGCTGGATTCAGGGTGGTAACCTCTGTGGATGGTTAGGAGCCTTCGCGTCTTAACATCTGTGGCCTGTACCTCCTCCTTTGGCCAGCTTGTTATTCCCGCAGGGTATCTGATTTCTGGTAGAGCGTACCTATTTATTGCCCAAAACTTATTTTTGCCATTGAGCTGGCTCCTTTGGACATGCCTTAATCGTTGGAGGTATTTGTCCGTAGCAGCTTTCCTTTTTACCGCTTTGATGTTGCAATTTGCTTGTGGGATTCCAAGGTACTTGTAACTGTGCTCAATAGCTACGTTTACATGGACACAAATAATCGGATTGAAGGCCTGATCAGATCAAAAATGTTTCATGTAAACATGTCAGACTGAAGATTCTAATCCGATTCGGTCCGATCGGAAATAAATTTAATTCCGAAAGAGAGAGGTGGTTTTTGCCGATCGCCATTCTGATTGGCGTCCATGTAAACACCCATTCGGATCTAAAGAGTAAAATAATCTTCACTGCGCATGTGTGCGACGTCAGCGTGACGTTTTTCCGCCTTGTCAACAACAGGAAACCACCGGTCGCTCTCGCTCTCGCTGTGAACAACATGGCGGGAGGAGTCTAGGAACGCCGACTTATACACTCAAGTTCATTTAAAGCTGCAGGATGCAGGAATTTATCCTCCTCCTCTTCCTCTTTTCTCTCTCTACAGCCCACTTGCTCTCCCACGCCGGTTCAATCGCTCATTCTC